CTGCATCACACTCACAGTACCTAATCCACAGCTCAGCACAGAACTACTAACTACATACACTGCATCACACTCACAGTACCTAATCCACAGCTCAGCACAGAACTACTAACTACATACACTGCATCACACTCACAGTACCTAATCCACAGCTTAATACAGAACTACTAACTACATACACTGCATCACACTCACAGTACTCAATCCACAGCTCAGCACAGAAATATTAACTACATACACTGCATCACACTCACAGTACCTAATCCACAGCTTAGTACAGAAATACTAACTACATACACTGCATCACACTCACAGTACCTAATCCACAGCTTAGTACAGAAATACTAACTACATACACTGCATCACAGTCACAGTACCTAATCCACAGCTCAGCACAGAACTACTGAGTAAGGACAACAGAAGCACGAAGTGTCTAGAAACCATGGCACATGGGACAGTTTCCAAGCTTGGCTGTACTCAAGAAATACATTGTAACTCTACTAGCTCCAGGAGACTCCACTGGGATCAGGAAATAAAATAGGAGGAACTGATTTTGTACAAGGAAGGGCTGTTCATGAATGAAGGTTCTGCTCTGGGGACAATGTTCAAGAAGGACATGGACTACCATCTTTGAGAAGTATCATAGAAGGGATTCCTGCACTAATTAAAAGGACTGTGAGTTCTCCAAGTCATCTCAAAGGCCACTGGGATTTTCTATTAATAAACGATAAGGGAACCCTTCTGCAAATCAAGACAGTGCAATTCCTACCAACAATGCCACATAAGTTACACAGCAACACAAATTATTCTAATGTATTAGCTTTATTATTTATTGACATAATATTGTTATGTAGTAAAAACAAATTAAGCAGAACACAAGTAAAGGTCTATTTGCTAACTGTGAAAGCAACTAAATATTGTTTTCTTAATTCGAGACTATTTTAAGTATTTCAGTAGCTAAGAAAGATTTCTCAAAGTACAAGTCTTGGTTTGTATCATGAATTAGTAGAGGACACTCTTAGGAGAAATAAGGGAAAGAAAATACCAAAAGTATAAAATACGTATTTTTGTTATATCTGTCTTTTGAATCATCCAGAAACAGGGAAAATTAACATAGCATGCAAAATGTTTTTTCTCAGCTAATCTAAGGACTGAATTTTATTGATTAAAGAAATTGCTTTGAAATACTACACTGTTGGCATTAACTATAAAATATAGTTTATATATTCAACCAATTTAAAGCAGAAAGCTAGCTAGTTACAATTATAGAGACAAAAGGAGGACAAGACTCATTCTGGTTCAAATTAGTTCACTAACATCTGTCATCTTTTAGTCTGAGAAAGGTAAAAATCTAAGGAAAAGATCTCACAGTACCCATCTTGCTAGAATACACTGTTACAATGCATCATCTAATTCTTACCTAATTATTTTCTCCTTCTTGCCATACTTCTATTACTAATCAAACTTGCTATTTGTGAAGAAGAAAACATTGCTAGCACTAATACTGCTTCAGTGTGCCTTTAGAATCTAGCAATGCATTATTCTATAACATTGACCTGAAGGAGCCATTTGCTGTTTTAAAACAATGAATATCAAAACACTGGCAAACCACTTAGATGTGGTTGCCCTTTCAGCTTTATTAATTTAAGCCAAACGACAGGGGAATTTATATGGTTTGCACCTGTCAAAAGCGGAGTCTTTACTAATGCAGTTTCCACTGACCAGGAGAATCTCCCTGAGGCTAAGGTTGAACTTCAACCTATTGTTGAACAGCCGGGTAGCACAAACATGTCACTAAGGACTCGGTTTCTATTAAGACAATCCCTTTAGAAATCCAGATGGATGGCATGCCACTCTGCACATGTTCAAACCTGAAGCTGGAGGAAGACTATGTCTATTCAGTAAACAGGGCCAAAAAACTAACCTAAATCTCTTCTCTTCCCCTAACACACTACAACATAATCAAAAATGTATTTTATGCTACATAAAACAATTTTCCTGAAAGGGTGCTAGAGTCACTATTACCTCAAACTCTTGAAAATATCGAGACATTTCAACTATCTAAAAAACAAAAAGAAAACAAACTTGAACTGTAAAAACCACAAAGAACAAAACTAATATTTCTGTTCAAAGTTTCCAATGAATTAAATGTTCTGTACTGTAGCTGATGCTAGCATAGCAGCCTTCACATGTCTACAACATCAAAAGCAAAGCTGGACCTAAACAACACTGATACTGGGTTTGGGAAGATAATGTTAGAGCCTTCACATTTTGTTATACCTGCTGAATTCCTATAGTACATTTGCACTATAACTAAGGACACCTGATTTTGGCAGTTCAGTCTTTGAGAAAATACTTGCTTCCAATCAAAGTCATGTAATATGTGTTAAACAAATCACAGTACGTAATGATAGAACATTGTAAAGCATTGGTTGTTCTACACAAGCACACATTACAAGAAGACTGTACAACAACTGTGAATAATTCTAGACTCTAGATTACTCAAAATGCCACCTGAAATTCTAAGACATGATTTTACAGATCAATTTTCAACAGACCACAATATACCAATGAGTCAGAATTTAACTATTCCACTGCAATGCAAAGAGTTCAAAGAGAAACAGCAAAACCCAAGATTTATTTGCCAGTCAAACAAGTCTAAGAACAAATATTGGCACCTGACCCAGTAGTCCAACTTAGTTTTGATAATTTGGAGATTAAATTTTATGCTAAACTTCAACATCATTTTGTGTACAGAAAGGTTGTAGAGTATAAATAAAGCATTGATGGCAATAACATAGTAAACAAGATGTTTTCTTATTTTGGGCCAAATGAATCAATGAATTGTAATCTAAAAGTTAAAAGGTAAAGAACTTACAGACTCCCCAGGTGAGTCTTTTCCATATCAAACATTTTTCTCTCCATGTATATTCACTTAATATTTGGTAGTAATGTATTTATAAAGAAAAATAAGCTGAGATTAATTTAATAATGTTGCCTGGTACCAGTCAAAATAGTCTAGCCTAACCTTTAGCTCTTCAAACATATCTTTCCATTTATGTATACTACTAGTAAATAGCATTCACCATGTAAGATCACAGTATTTTCTAGTTTTTCCCCGGTAAACCAGGTCAAACAGATAAATGAATTCTTCAAGGGAAGAATGACATTCACTAAAAATGTTGTATTACCTTGTATCTGAGCTTCTGGCTACTAAGAATTAATAAAAATATGGGCATCTATTTTATATATATAACATCTCTAAAACGGGCAAGCCAGCTACAAAAGGGGATACAATTTTAATCATTTGAACAGTGAAATATAGTAAAAAATACTATAAACATTAATTACTATCATTTATTGTAACCTAGTGATCTTTGCAGGGCTTTGTTTTGTTTATAGTCAAGTTGCTTTTGGTATACATTTAATCCTTTCTCATTAGTTAAGATTCATAAAGGCAGGAAGCTATCCTATATAAGTAACTGCCCATAGAAGTAAAAGCCATCCAAATTTGAACTTCTCAAATAATTGGAAGGAGCTCCACTAATTGTCACCTCCCATTAGTTTGTGCTTTTGCTAAATACAGCATCCGAAAAACAAACATAGCTGTTGTATTTTCACAAACATCACCTAAATTATTTCACTTCATGACAGAAAAGGAGTTTACTATCCAATCAGATAAAATAACTCAGAACACAAACAAGGAGGATCATGAAAAACAATCTCAAAATGATTCTGAAATGGCCTCATTTTCTCAGTGCTTTCTAGGGAATCAGTTCAGTTACAGTGAAAGCAGGAACATACTTCCTCAGCGTCTGAGAACCTTTCCAGTGACCTGGCCACTGTGTATCTGAGTCTCACATGAAACTTAGTTTAAAAATGGCAACTCACAACAGACTTCTAAACACACATTTTCCCTAAAGCAAGAAGAATTTCCACATTCTGACTGCTAAAAATATTTTGAAGGGAACATTCAGAGTTCAAACACCCTTATTAACCAAAAGATTTCCTTCTTACTAATGTTTTTTAAAAAGATCCAGCTTTCCTTTACTCATTCCTCCTCTAAAAGAAAAGGATTCTGAACAATACTTCAAAAGAGCAGTTCATCATATCTCCTGGATTTTGTTTTTAAAGCTACATTTTATGTATTTTTGAAAATTCCAAACAGATTTTCCAATGTATTTCTATAGATATTTACTTAAAATACATTTCTAGAACAGCTGTTTGTAGAATACTATTTTCAACTTCTGAATATATAAGTAACTGCCCATAGAAGTAAAAGCCATCCAAATATGAATTTATCACAACTTGAATGAAAAGTAAGAAAGATGCAATATTGCTCATTCATTAATATTTATACAGAACTAGAAAGTCAAAGTCTTGGCTAGAAGACTCATTTGATGAACTATGAATGTTTCAAATTCTTCCAAAATAATACACAAAACATTTCCATACTTCCCATATCACAAACATTAAACATCAGCTTTTAAGCCATAACACAAAAGAAATCACTGTATTTCAGATACATAAAAATTCCAAAAATCTCATGTTAAACATTAAAGTTTCCTTATACAATCCCTTGGCTATACCTTCATAGTAATGATTAGATTTGCATTTAACACTTTAAATAAAAATACACTCCAGGAAAACAAAAACAATGGTAATGTGGGCATGCCAGCATCTTTAAACACAAGCAAGCTTGAGGATGTTTTTTGTTGTTTTTTTTTTTTTCTCAATCTTGTCAGTTGGGGGATGTTGCTATTTGCAATCCCCCTCCCACCTTTTGCCACACAGCAGATTCATGAATGAAATCCCACTTTAACATCCTATTTTCTCTCACTTACATGTATGCTGGAGAAAGTGGAGTTGACCTGGATGTTTTAAGCACAGGAACTGGGAATTTCCAGATAGCAGGAGAGCTCGTTTTCCATTTCAATGGCATGTTGTCACCACGGTACTACAATAAACAGCGTTTCCATAACAGACTACCAACTAGGACTTCCATTCCACAGTGTACTGACACAGCAGCCGCGGAGAACAAGCGAAAGATTCTGCCAGTGCCCTTAAACGGACGCCTCCAATCTGTACAATAGGACTGCAAGGTACCTCCTTTATATCCTCCTGTCCCCTAAAGCAATAAGATGATTCTATCCTTCCAACTCAACAATAGTGCCACCTCGTTAGGAAAGTGTTGATTGCAGTGTGTGTGTGTGTGTGTGTGTGTGTGTGTGTGTGTGTGTGTGTGTACACTGTACTGTGCATAGTACACAATGCAGCTTTACTTAATAAAAGCAGCTATAGGGCTTTAAAAAAAGGCTTGCAATACCATTGTTCTACCTTAACAGGGATACTGCAGCATTGTACTATGTTCTGCACCTATTAACCTGATTTCTAACCAATAGTAGCAGGAAAAAAAATAGATGGGTTTCATATAAGAATGAAACAACATACCTACTCAGAATACATTTGTCATCCTCTGAACATTCTTCTTTTGAGCTGCAACAATACAAATGGGATATAAACCTCAGCATAGCCTTAGGCCACAGCTAATAGAGATCAGTGACTAAATTCAGCAGCCTGCTTTCCTCCTGTGCAAGCTCTGGCCACACAATACAAGAATGCCATTATGGGAAAAGCCCATTTAAAAAATGCCAGGTCCTCTGTTTTCCAGTTAGAAGAAAGCAAAATATCAGAGCAAATATAAACTGCTGAAGAACTCTGCGCACTCTTCTAGTAGCTTCTGATTCAAGTTGCACTCCTTTCCCTATTTTTATTTCCAAGCCGGGATGAGCAAAACCTCATACATCTACAACATGCTGTGGTAACACGAATATCGCTGTCTTCGGCAGCAGAGTAGTACAGAATAGCATGCTCTTATTAGCAGTCCTCGGAGGGACGCTATCAACAATCTAATTCAATACTGCCCTCCCCTTCTTCCCCTTTTCTCCTCCCGCTCACCCCCCTTACTCCTCCTCCGCCCCCAAACAGCTCACAAATTGTCTAGAGGAAAGACCGACACTGCTGGCCAAGCAGGTGTCCAGCAGGGACCACTCCACGGCTCAGCAGCGCTCCAGTAACCTCTTGGGATTAGCGACTGTCAAAGAGGTTCCAAAAATTGAAGCTGCTCTGTAAAAGCAGCTTGAGGTATTCCATGAAAGCAATGTCAAATAAAGTGTTCATCTATATTGTTTTAAAATACTGCCTGAAAATTGTGTTGTAAATAATCCCAAAGTGATTGGGTGTTTTGCATTTTTGTTGAAAGCAGCAAAATAAATTCACAAAATTTCTATGCAATTTTCAAAAGTAAAAATAGGTTAAGTTAAATTAATATTGTGCACAACTCTTTCTTTATAAGCTGCTAAATATTACGTCTCATATGGGCAAGTTGCTGTCTCTAAATACCTACCTTCCCAACACCTATTTCTACTAAAAATAAAATTATCTTGTCTCCATCAATGCACACTTACTAAGGAAGAGCGCCAACTCTATAAAAGTCACTGTGTTTTAAAAACAATAACCACAACAACTAAGAGCTCATATTTATTCTTACACTCACTTCCAAACAATGAACAATAAACTTATACCTCCAGCCAAAAATTGTGGCTTTCAGAGATTCTTTCCAAATTGTCCCTGGTTTCTAAGGATTGAGACTCTGTCCCTTAAAAAGATTTTTTGTATAAAAACAAACAAACAAACAAAAACTACAGATGAATGTTTCTATAATAAGAAGCTACTTTCAAAAATCCCCAAACACATCATCTAATACACCAGAAATAGAGCATGAAAGCAGCTAGGATAATCACAGCTCCTTTTTAAAATTTAGCTCATTATGGAAGCAAAAAACATTTTCTATGAGATAGAAATACAGATATAGAAGTAGTATTTACATATACATTAATATCTGGAAAGACAAGGTTTATTTTGAGCACTGACCAGTAATCCATAAACCTTATAAATATTAAATTGACATCAGCTATCACTACCTCCTGTGTAATTTTTTATTCTATCATACATTAACTACTTCTCAAAAAAGCCAGAAAATTAAATTATATTTCTAACTTCTTTTAGTACTCAACCCAAAACTCTCTCAGTTAAATGAATCAAAGAGAAGAATATTCATCAACATCTTACCAGCCAAAATATACTTGATTAAAAAAATGGAAAAATATTCATCAACAACTTAGCAGCCAAAATATACTTGATTTAAAAAAAAAAACCTCACAAATACAAATATACCATAGTCAGTATCTCACATTGGAACATTCTATATTGTCTAGCAAAAAGGCCTCAGACACAGTCAGTAATGGCAAGTTGTTTGGAAGTGAAAGAAGGAAAAGCACATGTATAAACATACACAGACAAGCATGTATATAGAGAGGTGTATATACATGTATGTATCCAGCTTGGAATACCTCATTCAAGAATGAGTTTCTAATAAATTTCCAAAATCTGAAGCACATGCAGACATTTCAAAATAATAAAAATAAAATAGCAATATATTAGCTGTATATAAAAGGAAAAGAATATTTTAGAGAGGAGATTTGGACTTTAATGCTTATGACAATTCTACAAAGCAATAATTGCAAATGTGACTTCACCTTCTGAGAACAGTGATGCCCAGACTTGTATCAAGCCACAGTAACAAGTGTTTAAGTAGTTATCTGCCCAGAGACTCCTCAAAATTGCTGAACAGAAAACAGGGTAATAGTTTTACAACTTTCTAAAGTATACAGTTGATGATCACTTTCTTACAAATATCCTCGAGGTACCATTCTACTCTTAATCAACTGACTAAAAGAAAATCCTAACAAACGAACAAACACTGTTGTCTAGTATCATTAAGTGTCAAAGAAACCAATCAAAATCAATATGTCAATTTTCAGTCTAGATTTCTGAGAGACTTGGTGTTAAATAGAATTATTTTAATAATTTCTCAAAGTGAGAAAAAACTAAAACGCTTCCTTACATCCCATTTCATCATCCTTAAAGACTTGAAACCCACAAAGTGTTAGACATGATTGTGAGCATTTATTTACATTCAATTCTAGGTTTGGGGTTTAATAAGTTGCTATTTCTTTTGTATCTGTCACAATCAAATAAGCATTATCCAAAGGACATATGAAATGATTACTTTGAGTAGTAATATGGTCTGTGAATTATCATCTATTTCAATTTACTTAACACCATTCCTCATATATCATTTAGAAATAAACTTCACTCAGGTACAATCACCCCACTATAAATTAGAAGTATCAAAATTAACTAGATTTCACTCTCTTAGCAATGAGTCTGATAGCAAATATTGTGTGTAATCATAATTGCCATTATATCCCTGAATCCAAAATACTTGCATCTATATTAAAGAAAGAATGATTAAATATGCATTTAAAATATATTTGTACTCAGATTCAGCGAAGCACTACTTTGACACTGAGATTCATAAATGTCCCTCAATCATATCACAGGAAGCCCTAATTTCATTTACAGAACACTTGAATGCTATCACATAGCACCACATAGGACAGAAGGACAATCTATCTAATGGATATTCCAAGTATTTTATGAACATTAATTACTTAAGTACTTGTGAAATATGTATCTCAGAGATAAAATAGCCAGAAGACAATGATGGTTCTTGGTCAAGGCCATAGAAAGATCATTCTTGGAAAACTCCAACAACACAGAATCCTATGACTTCCAAAGTAGGAAAAGAAGATTTTTAGAACTGGTAGAGTCCTAGAAACCATCTTTTTCAGTATTCTCATTGCAGAGATGAAAAGTCTGAACTCAGAGAAGTTATTGAATCTATTGCCATTGTGCTGACTAGTGAAGATTACTCTCGATCTCCTAGTCCAGGATTACTTCTGTAGTGTTCCTAAAGTCTTTTCACTCAGAATATCCATTAGATGAATGCTTCTATCTGAAGTGAGCCACATCCTATAATTATCTCAGCATATCCTAAAGAAACAAGGGCAACTAAGAGATATTTAATTCTATTGCATGTCCACTGAAAGACAGAAATGGGACAGAATCACCCAAATGAAAAGGTATACATACAAAACCACATCTCAACTTTTAATTCTAGAATGTGTAGAAAAATGGTCAGGTGGAAAATAACTTAAAGAACGACTGAAGGCAGTCTTAGTATAGGGAAAATAGAGATAATACAGCTAATATTCTTGATTCTTTTTCTCAGTGTAAATATCCCTAAATAACTTATACATGTGAATTTTCTTACTGACTGCTACAGCCTGTCATATCAGTTCATCAAATGAATTCACTGATACTTAGGTTCCTAATTTTTCTCTCTATTACTTTCTTGGTAGGCCTAAGAACACATCTTTTCCTACCAATTTTTGTTTAATCTTGTGGTAGTTACAGTTAAAGACTAATAGCAGTAGATACAGTGTATGCAAGCAGGCATGATGTGATTGTCAATCTAGACTATCAATGTTATTCATGTTTTCCTGACAGGACTGTTATAGATCATGCTAAGATACATATGCCATTTATGTTTTACCAATTAATTAGTAAAAGTATGTAGATAGCAACCAAATCTGAAATCTGGCCAAGTAAGGAAAAAAATCACAATGGGAACAGCACATCAAAATTCTTTGGGGAAATAACTCTTCACACTTGTAGTTACATACATGTGGGCATGTATCTTTCATACACAGTAAGATTATATGTATTTGTGTATCTTAATTTGTTTTCGTGAACTTGAATACAAAATACTTAATAAATTTCTTCATAGATAACTCACATACACAGCCTTATTATAACCCAACTCAAATGTTTCTCATAGATACTACACTGGAAAATTCTATTTTGAAAATTTCCCTAAGAGAACTACATAGATACATACGGTTCCACAACAGATCTATAGAGATATACACAACTACAGCTATGACTACTCCTGACAGAGAACCATTATCTTATGTTCATATTCATGTGCAAGTGCAGAAAAATCCATTACTCCATATAGCATAAGTAATATGAAGAGCAGGATTCTTCAATAGCTCCAGTGGCTGTGAGTAGTATGTTATGCTGTGGTAGAACAGCAATATAAAGAGCTAGTATAGTGGTGGCACACAACTTTAAT